CGGTTTTTAAGTTCTTGCGATTGCCGGCGAACGAAGATCGTACAAATTTTGAAAACGGTCGTACAAATTCATACAAATTACGTACTAAAACATAGGACTGGAAAAAATTCGAAAACGCTAAAWTTTGTCCGCGGGGTGGGGCTGGGGTGACGCCGGTTTTTTAGTATTTGCGATTGCCGGCAAACGACGTTCGTACAAATTTTGAAAAYGGTTGTACAAAGACATACAAATTACATACTAAATTATGGTGTAGGTTAGAGTATGAATTATTTAATGTTAACCTTGGGTGGGGCTGAAATCACATCACCCCAGCTCCATCCATTGTTTTTGGTTGATTACGAGAAAACCAAGGCCGCACAAATTTTGAAAGTTGTCATACAAATTCATACAAATTACATACTAAATATTGGTAAATAAATTTTTCAAAATTTCCAAATGGGTGGGGCTGAGGTGATGCACGTTTTGATGGGGACTTGCAAAACTGGACATCATTTCTTGATGAGTTTAACGCCAGATTTCATAACAACCTAGTATTGTCTGATGTACAGCGCTTACAGTTTTTAAAGTCCTGTCTAATTGGTCCTGCAGCAGAAGTGGTGCGTACCATTCCCACAACTGATGCCAACTACCGTATAGCTTATGATGTCCTTATAGAAAGATATGAAAACAAGTCACTCATTATCCAATCTCATATTCGGTCATTGTTTCAATCACCGCAAGTACACAAGCCTACTGCCAATGAATTACGACAACTGCATCACCATGTTGTATCTCAAGTAAACGCACTGAAGGCACTTGGGCAACCAAGTTAAAGACTGGGATGCATGGCTAGTGACATTGTTGTGCTGCAGACTGGATTCAACCACCGTAGGAGAATGGCAACTATTACAATTGACCAAGGATCTTCCTAAATTCACTGATCTGGAAAAATTCTTGGCCAACCGTGTGTCTTCGTATGAGGTTGGTGATGTAGGTAATCAGTCACTCCAGCTCAGACAGTCTACTGGGGTTCGTCCACTGCAAAAAAGAGTACTATTCACTAATCAACTCAACAGCGTTCCTTTTAAGGAAAGACAATGTATAGTATGTCCAGAGCAACATCGGCTTTCAATTTGTGAAAGTTTCAGTAAAATGCCTTTGTCTGAACGCCAGGATGTAGTATTCAAAAACAGGTTGTGCTATAATTGTTTGTTTCCTGGTCAAGTTTGTCAATGTCGTGGTGGTAATTGCAACAGATGTGGAAAACGACACAACACTAAGTTGCACAGTGATGCACCATTCTACCCTCCTGGTCCATCTAATGAACAATCGCAAATTGTTAAGAAACCCAGCACTTGCTTTGAGTTACAAGGACTTCATGAATGAGTACCTAGAGTTAGGCCACATGGAAGTGGCTCAAAATACTAATGGCCCCAMATACTACCTTCCGCATCACACAGTGTTCAAGTCTAACAGCTTAACTTCAAAAATGCGTGTAGTCTTCGATGGTTCTGCTACAACTAAGTCTGGTCACAGTCTCAATGATATTCTACTATGTGGACCAACTGTGCAACCTGATCTAATTTCCATAATTTTAAGATTTCAAATTCATAAAATTGCTCTTACTGCAGACATAGCTAAAATGTACAGGCAGATACGAGTTTCACCTGAAGATTGCGATATGCAAAGAATATGCTACAGAGAGAGCTCTGCTGAACCATTGAAAGACTATCGACTTCTTACTGTGACTTATGGCACCAGAGCTGCGTCATTTAGCGCCACTCGCTGTTTACTTGAACTAAGTTACAATGTCAGAAATCATGCAACTCAGCGCGTAATTCAACAAGATTTTTATGTTGACGATCTGCTTAGTGGTGGTCAAGATGAAGCGGAGTGTTATGAACTTTTTCAAGACCTAGCTGAGGAACTTAACAAGGCTGGTCTACCCCTTCTCAAGTGGTGTTCAAACTCGAATTTAGTTATGTCAAAAATGTCAATTTCTGAACGTGATCCTACTTATCTGTTGTCTATTAGTGAAGAAGATACTGTCAGCACCCTAGGTCTTACTTGGCAACCAAGTAACGACTGCTTCAAATTCATTTTCAAGGATTTATCCAGGTCTCTCCACATGACAAAAAGAACACTACTTTCCAATATAAACAGTGTATACGATCCAGTGGGATTCCTAACGCCTGCATTGATTCGAGGAAAAATGTTTATGCAACAGTTATGGTCTTCAAAGTTAAACTGGGACACACCACTGTCTATTGAACTACAAACAAAATGGGTAAATTTTTATCAAGGTCTAAAGGTGTTAGAGCGGTTATCAATTCCACGTCGTGTACCATTTGACAGTACTACATCGGTGCAGCTCCATGGGTTTTGTGATGCATCACAAAATGCTTTTGGTGCCTGCATTTACTTTCGATCAACTACCACATCGCAATGTCAACTATACTGTTCCAAATCTAGAGTAGCTCCACTGAAGCCCAGCACGATTCCACGTTTGGAATTATGTGGCGCCCTTCTTTTGGCAGAGTTAGTCAGTATGGTTGGAAAAGAGCTGGAACGCATCAACATTCGCTGTGACCCCAGTAATGTCACCTTATGGTCTGACTCATCCATTGTGATATCCTGGATCAATAGTGACAAACCACTAAAATCGTATGTTTCCAACAGAATAGCGCAAATATTGGATATAACTAAACCCTCTCAATGGCGCCATGTTTCAACAACAAGTAATCCTGCTGATGTTATTTCACGTGGATGCTCAGCTGAATCATTGTTATCGAATGAACTTTGGTGGACCGGTCCTAAGAGGTTGAGTCAAAATGAAGAGCTTTGGCCATCCAACAGTGTCATTCATACTGAATTACCCGAGGTCAGWGTAATTCGGCCTGTTCTTGTAGTGACTCAAACGCCAGATTTTCAATTTGCCGAAAGATATTCTTCCTGGTCCAGAATGACCCGTATCGCTGCAATATGTCCTGAGATTTTGCTACAATGCTCAAACCAAGATAGTATCTGAACGACGATTAAAGGCTCAAGTGTAGCTGAACTATCCAATGCTACCACAGTACTGTTGCGAAAAATGCATTCCGTGTCATTTTCATCAGAAATTGCCGAGCTTAAAGCTATCAGACCTGTTGGACGTCGTAGTGCATTACGCTCTTTAAATCCGTTTCTCGATCAAGATGGTCTTTTGCGAGTAGGAGATCGACTCATAAATTCTGACATTGCTTACACTAGCAGATGTCCAATTGTATTACCAGCTAAAGGTAGAATCACACAGCTAATCTTTGAGTACGAACATAAGCGTTTGATTCACATTGGCCCCAGAGGATTGCTGGCCAACATTCAACTTCACTACTGGCCGATTCGTGGTCGAGTTATTGCTAGACAGACTGTCAGACGCTGCATAATTTGTTTCCGGTCCAGCCCGTCTCTGTCCACGCCATTCATGGCACCACTTCCACGGGAACGAATTAATATTGAGCGTCCCTTTGCCAGAACTGGTGTKGATTTTTGTGGACCAATCCTAATTCGAAGTGGCATACGTAGAGTAGTCAGCATTAAGTGCTATATTGCAGTATTCGTTTGTTTTGTGACTCGTGCTATCCGCCTGGAACTAGTTAGCGGACTTACCACTGAGGCCTTTCTAGTATCTCTCATGAGGTTTATCTCTCGTTGTGGCCCTTGTAACCAAATTTATACTGACAACGGCACAAACTTCGTGGGAGCCAACAAGGTCCTACATTCATACTTTTCACCAGCCAAGGGACAACGTACAGTTGAAGACTCTCTCTCAGATCTCAAAATTCAATGGCACTTTATACCATAGACCTTATACTCATAGACGGAACATCCAGGCGGGATGC